GTTGATAATATATACACGTTAAATCGATTTTAGTATGTTAATCTTGCATCTGCAACTTGCTAACTCTGCGTTTTGAGTTCTAGCAGCTCTTTTGTAGATGGCATCACATTTTCTATGTAGACCATGTTATCTCTAAGTAAAGACAGTTTTACTTCTTTATTTCCAATATGGATGTCATTTACTTAAATATATTTTAATCATATTATTTTTGGCCTAATTGCACTTGCTAGAACCTGCAGTCTAAAGTTTAAGAAAAGTGAAAAGCCTTGTCTTGTATTCTGAGGGAGAAAGCATGTGGTCTTTCAGTACTAAGTATGATGCTAGTTATAGGTTTTCTTGTAAATATTCTTTGGGAGTTGGAAGATTTTCCTTTACCTGGTTTGCTGAGAATTTTTGTCAGGAATGGATGTCAGATTTTGTCAAATGTTTTGCATCTGTGTTCGTTTTTTTTTTTTTTTTTTTAGTTTGCTAATAGAGTGAATTACATTGACTTTTTAATGTTAAGCTTGCCTTGCATTCCTAGGATAAAGCACACTCCGGATATAGTATTCTTTTACTATTTTCTTATTTTAATTTGTTAAATGAGAGATATTACTCTGTAGCTTTTTTTTTTCTTTCTTGCTGGCTTTAGTATCTTGTAATGCTGGCCTCAAAATGAGTTGTAAGGTCTTCCCTTCAGTTTTTTTTTTTTTTTTGTAAAAGTTTGTACAGAATTGATATTGTTTCTCCCTTAAATGTTTGCCAGAATTTACCAATATAACCATCTGGGCCTGGAATTTTCTTTCGGAAAGGTTTTTTTAACTATAGTTTCAGTTTCTTTGACAGATAAAGGGTTGTTCAGATTATTTGGTCATTTTTGTCTTCCAGAGAATTTGTCTGTTTCATCTGACTTTTCTAATTTGTTGGCATAAAGTTGTTCATAATATTCCCTTATTCCCTTAATACTATAGATTCTATTTCATTGATTTTTGCTCTAACCTTAATTATTTGCCTTCTTTTATCTATTTTGTGTTTAAGTTGCTCTTTTTCTAGTTAAGGTTGAAGCTGAAGTCATTGATATGAAACCTTTTTTTTCCCTAAAAGATTTCATGCTATTAATTTTCTCCCATGTACTGATGTAGTAGCATCCCACATATTCTGATCTATTGTGTTTTTATTTTCACTTAGCTCACTGATGCTTTTTACTTTCTGTTTTTTGAATTTTTTTCTCTCTGAATTTCATCTTGAGTAGTTTCTATTGCAGCGCCTTCAAGTTCACTCATCTCTTCTTATGCATTGTCTAATCTGTCAATACTAAGAAGGAGAGAGACGGGCATCGGCAGTAAGTGGAGCATTCAGAGCACACGCAATGTCTGTTAGGTCCATCGTCACAGGGTATAGTTTATGGCACCCAGAACCATTACAGTAGTAAGACCACAGATCACCATAACAGATATAATAATGATGAGAAAGGTTGAGATATCGTGAGAATTACCAAAATGTGACAGAGACACAAAGTGAGCAAATGCTTCTGGAAAAATTGGCGCCGACAGACTTGCTCGATGTAGGGTTGCCACAGACATTCAATTTGTAAAAAGCTCAGTATCTGAGAAGTGCAACCAAATGAGGTATATATTTCATTACTGATTTTCCTTAGGCTTTAAACTCACATCTTCGCATTTTAGGATGTCTCTTCCCAGTTATTTTGTAGGTACCTTGAACACTATACGTACAAAATTGAGTTCATTATCTGATCTTCTTTAAAATGTAGTCTTCCTTGTGACCTCTTATTTGCCCACACTCTACGTTTGTCTGGCCCGTGCAGAAACGTGACTGTCCGCCCAGACTCCTGCCCGTTGTTTTTATCTTCTTAGCACCTCTAAAATCTGTTCCTTGGTTTCCTCTTCCCTTCCGTTCATTTAGGCCTTCGGTTCCCTCCCTCGATTCAGTCCCACCCTGTTCCGATGCGTCCTCCACAACGCCCTTCGCGTGATTTAATCGTCTTATCCCACACTTAAAATTTACTTGATGTGTTGGGACTGAGAAATGACTATTAAATTGCAGAGTGTCGTTTGGTTTGGCCGTGTGGTGTAAGCTAAAGCCAGAACGCAGGGGGTTAAGGAGCAAGCCGATGAGAAGGAAGCAGCAGTAAGTTCACACTCTTTAAAGAGAGAAGAGAGGAATGGAATTGAGTAGCTGAGTATTTTCACAAAATTCATTCTTTCTGCAGTCACCTGAGTAGTGTGAAGTATTTTATCTGGACGTTGAGCTATATCTGTCGTCAGTGTGCCCATAGTTAGCAGAGAGTCTAATTTCCTTTCAGGTAATTCAGACTTCTCAGCATATTAAACAAGACTGTTTTCAGATTCATTATCTATTTTGTTTCCTGATCGATCTGTCAGTTTTCAAATAGGTGTATTCACAGCTTTTATATTTGCTAATTTTTCAGTGTAATTTTCGGTTCGGACTATGTGTATTTTCTTTCTTCTCTTAGGACACTTTTAAAGTATACTCTAACCTTATTTTCAGAAGGTTGCTCCATTATTTGCTTTTTCTTGGTATAGTGAATTCTCCTGTTTTGTATAGTTGAATTTGTTAGCAGTTTTTTCATGACACATTTTTCTCATATGCATTGGAATTTTCATTTGGAGGCTCATCTGAGTCAGGGCTTCACGGTAGGTATGACTTTCCATTCTCCCCACTTATTCCTCTATACCTGGCAGTTTTATTACCTCCACTGGTTCATCAATTCAGAACTTGGAGTTTTTTATTCTAGAATCTCAGTTTTCTGAAGATATTACGCATCCGGTTCCCCAAATGTATAGCCGTTTACCCCAGTCTCAGCTGTGCAGCTGTTTCTGCTCCCTCCTTCGAGTCTAGGAAATTAATTTCATACCCGGTCCCCACCACAGTGAAGCTTCCCCTGTTTCCTTGGAGGAAACTTCTAGACGTCTTTGTTTACTCCACTGGCAAGCAATAGAAACTTCTGCTTTTAACACTATGAGTGTCTTTGTATTTCCCACCTTCTATAATTTTTATTTTGTTTTTTTCAAGCATGACTTAATTACATAAGTTTACATGTGTTTCAATAATGTCAGTATATAAAGTAAAAATAGATGGGCTCCTTCCTGAAAGGTGTAACCACTGTTGACAGTTATCTTTTTAAATCTTTTCTATATGGACAGTCACATTCTTTAAACATAGTTTTTTAGTACTATCAAACTATATTATTCTGAAACTTGCTTCCCCTCCCCGCCCCCAATAGCATATAATAGGTATCTTCCAGCATCAGATTACAGATTCCCCTGATTCTCTTTAATGGTTTCATGGGATGGTCCGCTATAGTATGTTTATACCATCATTTATGTGGCCATTTCCCTAGACATCTGAAGTTATCTTTTTACTAATGGTATTAGTGCTGTGAGGAACTTCTTCTTTTAGATCCGTATTTGTGTGTGTGTGCAAGTATTGCTATAGCATAATTCCCAAACTTGAAAAGCTGGGTTAGGTTTTGATAGCCACACTGCAGAATTGCCTTCCAATCTCAACAACTAGAAACCACAGCCTTAACAATATTGGATGTTACCAGTCTTTAAAATGTTTGCCTGTTCAATAGGCAGAAATGCTCTCTTCTTGTTTTAAGTTGCTTTTCTTTAATCATTAGTGAGGTTGGGCTTCCTTTCTTATGTTAACTATCAATTCGTGTTTCTTTTTTGTTAATTACACATGTGTTTCTATGTCAGTTTTTCCTCTTCAGCTGTCAGTTCTTTGTGTTGGACACAACCCTTGTTTCTGCTGTGTATGTTGCAGATGGCTTCTCCCATTCTCTTTCTTGTCTTTCATATTCACTTACGGTACCTCGTGTCTTCCATGTGACACCGTAAATCTTGTCCTTTATGGCTCCGTCATTTTGTGTTTTGTTTAAGATCATGTGCTTAAGAAGAGCAGATATTTTCTTCTGGTATTCTTAAGTTTTGTATTTACTTTTAAATCATTAGTCCACCACAAATTTATTTTTGTGAGCTAAGATATAAATATTTATATACATTTTCCATCAGATAGACAATTGTTGCCATAAACCACCGAATAGTCCATCGTTTCCTCACTAATTTAAAAAACCAATGATAATACTATATGAATACTTGAAGAATTATATGTGATTTTTTTTCTTTTCGTGCAGGGAGAATGTGAGTTTTTAAACAAAGTTCAAGGATGTAGGACGGGATTTATAGAAAGTTAAGGATAAAAGAGGATGGTTATAGCCTTGGGAGTTATGGTGTGAAATGGGATAGGTTTAAAAGTATAGATGGGATAGAATAAGAACATACCTAGAAAAAACAAATATGTACTAATAGCTGTCTAAATAGTAATCGAGGGCATCAGATTCAACGGCTTATTATATTATGCAAGGGGATATTACAGAAGAATTCTTGGGCTTTTTGTGTGTGTGTAGATTTATTTTAATTTGCTGCCTATGGCACAGAAATCACCATTAACCATCCTGTAGAAAAATGACCTTTTTGGCTAACATCAGATTTAAGTATATCTCTTATATTTACTCTTATGGTTTATATAGTTAAAGCCATTAATATATAAAAGATAATTATTTTCAATTTAGAAATGTTTGGATTTGTGACAATGTACAAACTATGTGACCGAAGAAAAGACTACTAAATATGTGAAATACCACATCCAGCAGAAAAAGATTTTCTAGAAATTGGATACACATGTAGAGGAGAGTGATTATGGTATACTCTTACTGGACTGCATTTGAAGTATGTTAGAAATAGATCTGTCAATATAATTTTAAAATTTTTGACCTGTAATAACTCATCATAATTGGAAAAACATTGTTTAATTGTCTTCTGTCTTCTCTTTTCTCTGCCTTCATTCTTCTCTTTTGTTTTGCATTGCAGATCATACATCAGTTGGCGGGCTGGGAGACAGTTTTTACGAATACTTACTGAAAGCGTGGTTGATGTCAGATAAAACAGACCATGAGGCGAGAAGAATGTATGATGATGCTATTGAGGTAATTATTGTCAGAACATTTACCTACTTAACGTATCGAATATACAGGGCATTTAATAGTGACAGATGAACATCTTATATTTTATGATATGCATTCCCTGTAGAGTTTGTTAGTATTTTAATTTAGAAGCCATATTAAGTTTTCCTTTTATTGTGGTATTTTAAAGAAATTGTTAAAGAATTTACTGTAGCATATTTATGTTTGAGAATGTATTTTAGTTGCTTTTAACTGTTGTCTACAGGGACTGGGAAACTTCTGACTTCACATACATTTTCATAAATATTCTTTCAAATGACCCATCGAACCTGCACATCGAGAGCCTTATGGGTAAATAATAAGGGCGAAACACTTACATAGTATTTTCCACATGCCAGGCACTGTCCTGTCTCCTTTTAAATATGTGACATTATTTAATCTTTACTACCATTTACAGAGGAGGACCTTAAGGCACCTAGTGGTTAAGTTACTTATTAAAAGTCGCATAGCTAATAAATGATGGAACCCGAAACTGGGCAGTCTGGCTCCAGAGCCTTTAACCACTGTGCTTTGTTGTTTCATATTAACATAAGCTCGGAGCAGTGTTGTGACAGTTTAAAATTGGAACAGGTTTCATTCTTGGAAACATTTATATGCGATATTTCCAAGCAAACACTGGAATAGAAAAGTGTGTTAACTACTTAGTTATTTGCTTTCTTATCCAGTGTAAACCTATATCCATTTAATGATTTTAACCACTTTTTAAAAGTTGTATATTTTATATATACTACAAAGTGTATACAATTCTGCCTATAGTCATTGATCAGTATTCAGTTACAGTTGTTTTGTCTTTAAAGTAAACTAAGGTTCTTATTACCCACTTTATATCTTTACTTTTTAAGGAACTAATTTTCTGCAGTTGTTTACACAAATGCAGAGGAGTTGAACTAATATGTGGCATATAGTGCTTTGCCCATTGTAGGCATTAGATAAATGTTTCTTGAGAGATTGTGTTAATTAAGAAATTGAGCTGAATCGTTATGTAATCAAGAATGTATGTTTTAATACGCGACTTCCAAAATTCTTTATGAAGACTTATATTTTGAAAAGTTGGAGAGTTTTATTCTGTTATTAAACTTTAAGCCTAGAAATATGATCTAAAAATGTCATTCTCTAGGAAGAATGTAATATTAGAATCCTAGTATTGAAAATAGCCCTTAATTGTTCCCACCAGACAGTAGATTCCTTGAAGGCAGACTAATTTATCAATAGCTCAGCACCTAGTACAAATCCTGAAACAGTAGGTATTCAGTAAGTATTAAGTAAATGAACATATTTAATATTTTTATTTTGAGAAAGTGTGACATATATACCATGTAATCATTTTTTCTTCATAGTTTGCTGCTTTCATGTAGTATTTTGAATCTAAAACCATTTTTTCTTTTACTTAATTCCGCCTAACATTTTATATTTGTTATTTTTTGAAATCATTTATACTTTGAAAGGCATGATATCTGTTTTGAAAGTCAGTCTCGTGAATTAAAATTATTTTCCCTGAATCATCTGCTGTATAAGTTATATTTCCTAAAACTCTTACCATTTTTGTTTTCTGTGTCCTGTTTTTATTAGTTCTTATGTATCAAATGGGCACCTAGTGTGTTTTTAGATAACCAGTTGGCCAACTTTCATTTTGAAACATATATGAAGTTTTTTCAATGTTGATTATCTTTGATAACAATTATATTAGGAGACAGAATATATACAGATTGTAAAATCAATGACATATGGAATGCATGGAAAAGATAAGAGTACATAATTTTGAGATTCATTCTAATTTGAATAAATCCTTTTTAAAATATGCCTTTCTGAACTAATCTGTATAAATTATTCTATCTTCGTCTCATCCTCCTCTACATTATGGATACCCGAGTCCCTGGTTCCTACAAATGAGCTTTCTTTGTAAAAATTATGTACAGTTATAGGTTTTATATTCTGATCAAGTTTATATTTAGTTTTTAATTTTTTAAATATTAAGAAAAATACCTTTTTAAAGGCCCTTTTGGAGCAAGAAAGTAAGGCCAATATTTGTGAAGGTTTGTTTAATACTTAAAAGAAGGGCAATGATACTACTCTTAACTGCAGTTCAACAGTTTGCATTTTATATAAGTTGAACTCTTAGACATTTGTCATATTTTTAGAGAAGAGAACCATACAAGAAATTTCAGGCATCTGTACATGACTTACTGGTAAAAATCCTGTTTTTACCTACCTTTTACTTTAATCTTAGTAGATCCATGGGGATATGTTTGATATCTTTTAATTATAGCATAGTAAGATTTATATTATAATCAACAGAAATAACAAAATGACAAAAATATTATACAGTGGTTTACAATCAAAACTATGACTATCATTCTTTAGGCATTTATTGAATGCCTTACATGTGGAAAACACACTAGATGCCACGAGGTCCACAAAGATGAAAAACATTGTCCCTATGCTCAAAACACTAATCTTTATTTGTGCTTCGGAGTTTTAACTATGGTTAAAAGAGAACAACAACAATAAAAATTTATAATCCAATGGTATTCCCTTATTTTGCTTCTCAACCAGTCCTCACTCCCCTAATGGGTCAAATACAGTTATCTGCCATTTATTTATAAAAATGACTTATTAATGAAACACTTATTGAGTGCGTATTACAGTCACAGGCCTTGTGGAGTATAAGATGATGAATAAGGTATAGCATAGCCCTCATAGTTCTGTAAAACATTATTATAAAGAATATAGAATAATTTTTTCCACAACTAATGTTAATGAGCTTGTTAGACAACATCCCATAGTAAAATGTGGGTTAACTCTAATTCTTTTTTTATTGTCAGAAAAGCGTGGTCACTAGTCATATAATAAATAATTTACACCAAAGAGAACTGAATTAGTGCAACTTTTTATACTTTTCCATAGACCAACCTCTAGAGCTGGAGAATTAATATATAGACCCTCTCAGCAATGTGGGTGAAAACAGTCCAAAGTAACAAAGCTCTTAAAAATCTCATTTTTAAAATTAAATGTAATTGTTAGACTCTACTTTGTGTTATATTTAAGTTTAATATAAAATATTTTTCTCGCCATTCCCATGTCTTTTGAGTAAAATTGACATTCCAGGAAGGTGGACTGTGTTTATCACACAGGCTCTCTTAAACATGACCCAGCATCCCAGATGCTGATTTTGCAAAGTAGAAGACTAAGGAGTTAAGTTCGAACTCTGAATTAGTTTTGTAAGCTCTATCACGTTGCCTCACCTATTGATGCTTTTTTAAAGTACTTTGACAAGAAGTGTAGTTAAGTGGAAAAGGAGAAACCATTTTAATTAATTATCAAAATTATATTTTTCTGATTAAGTTAGGTATTCTTCCTATTCAGTTTTTGATGTATGAAATAGAAAATAAATCAGCAGAACCTTTTGGTTTCTAACTTCTCATCATGATCTCAGTTGACTGATTATTATGGATTTCATTTAGCTCCAGAAGAATCTTCAGGCTTCTTACCTCTCTTCTACCTTATCTTATTATAGTAGCAATTGGAGTATTTGTTCAAAGTTATGCAATTTGATTACTCACTCTAAAAATTAACTTATTGTAAATTAAGCCTTCCAGTTTGGAGAAGTTGCTGCTTTATGGAATGTCACATTACCAAGGTTTTATGATAGCCAGAAGAATATAGTAAGGTTGAACACTAACATTTTGCTTCTAAAATTTTTAATATCTTCTCTTTTTTGTAGGCTATAGAAAAACATCTTATTAAGAAGTCCCGTGGAGGTCTTACCTTTATTGGAGAATGGAAGAATGGGCACTTGGAAAAGAAGATGGGGCATTTGGCCTGCTTTGCAGGGGGAATGTTTGCACTGGGAGCAGATGGTTCCAGGGATAAAGCTGGTCATTATTTAGAGCTAGGGGCGGAAATTGCACGGACTTGTCATGAGTCATATGACAGAACTGGTAAGAATGTTAATAATGCTAATTGCATAGTCCAAAATAACCTATAAGTTAAAAACATTTCAGAAATTAGAAGGAAAATATTAGGCATTTTGACTTCAAAATAGTTTAATACAGTAAGTTATTTTCTTAAGAACTTGAATTTTAATTCTGGAAATGTATATTTGCATTACTTCTTTTTATTGTTTCTAAACTTTATTGTTTTTGTTTTAAAAAGTTTTGAAGAAGTTTTAAAGACAAGAAATAAAGCATTAGTGGATGCGTGGGGTAACATTATTTTAGTAACTAGTAAGAATTCATTTAGCCATTCATTTCAACTTCTATAACAACAGTTACTTAAAAGGTCACAAAATTGACCTTTTTAGGTTACTTGCCTTTTCCTCTTATGAACATAAGAAAACCAAAAAGGAATAGTAGTTACACTAAATGTGTAATGGGTATTTAGGTGACCGGTAGTTTGTCTCTTAGTTCATTAATAATTTTTGAGTTGTTTGTGCCCTTAATTGAAAAGATCTTCTGGCATTGCTTTAGGCAAATATGTAATATTTCTGAGCTTCAGCATCCTTACCTAGAAAATGAAATGATTCTCAGTGATGATACCAATTAGTTCTTGGGGATGAAAAAATGTTTTTATGTATAAAGCATAGATATACATGTAGTCGTAGATAGGTAAACAGAATATATTATTAAAATTTCATGGATAGAGAAGGCAATCAGGTTTTTATAAAGCCTAAAAATAGAATAGAAAAACACTGGACTAGAGCTTCCCAGATTTTCTCTGGCTTTAAAAATGTGTGTTTCTATATGAAATAATGGATAATGAGTTCCCTGAAAGACTAAAAACCTGTGATTTCTATTTGTGATTTTGGAAGTTGAATTGTTGCTTTTTATTAAATAACTGAATTTCTGTTTTAGAGTTAATTTATCATCAGGTACCAAATATGATTGGCTTAACATTTATTCTGGTGTAGAACCTGTCAAGTTATTTTTATATAATTGCCCCTTCAGTTACTTCAGTAACTAAATCAAGATTTCCATTTCATAACAAAATGTAACTGAGTCAAAAGGACATTGAAGCAGATGTTATTTTAGGATAGTTGAAGAGTGGGTAATACATGTAAAGTCAGTGATGTGAGTTACAAACAGAAGCTAAATTATATTATTGTGTTGATACAGAGTATTAACTATATATTTAAAACATAGCTCAAATTAGTAAAACATTAAGTTCCAGATTGGACATTCAATGCTCGCTTCTGGACCCATGATAATAAGACTTGTCGTTATGCAGGTACATATAACATGTCCAGTGGACATAAGATCCATTGAACATGGAGTACTGGACATATTTTCAGAGTTTTTGCAACTATTTTTTCCCTAAAGGAAGTTAATAGGGAAGGATGCAGGAGAATTGTGTAAGTCTTCCCTTACTATTAGTCCATTATAACTGTGGTCAAATTGCCTGTCCCAGAATATTCCGTGTGCTTTTTGTCTTTCGTTAACCTGAGTGTGCTTGCTTTTCCACCTCAGCGGGTTCTGCCTGTCTGGGAGGACGCATGTGCATGGCACTTCCTCATGGCTTTCCCAGCTCATCTGTGCCTTCTTTAAAGCTGTCTTTTATTGTCCGTCTTCTGACCTTCATCACATTTGATAGTTTACTTAATTGTTTTTTATTTGGGCATGTCTCCTTTCTTTACCTAACTTATATGACTTTTTTGCATCCTCTAGAGTTCTTCATACCTAGGCACTAAATCATTTATGGTTTTGATTCACTGTTTACTTATTGGATTCATGATTTTTCTTTTAGAAATGAAATATCAAATATAAGTGAGAGACTTCAGATAGAGAATAGAAATTAAGTGCAGGGTAGAATGTTCTAAAATTAGTTTTTACAACATTTCTTTAAAAAAAGCACCTAAGAAATAATGCCCTCAGAAACATGAAACCAGTGATTTGGCCAAAATAATGAATGTCATATGTATATAATTTAGGCTTGTACTTTTTGACTTACCAAATCTCCACGGGTCAAATTTGTATGTTTCTGGTATGTTTTATTAGTGAAATTATGAATGACCAATAAGAGAAGTACAGTTTTTAGTGAGAAGTTTAAAGTTAGTTCCATGCAGCCAATTTGTACTTCAGTTCCAATGATATTATCATTATAATTATAGAAGTTATTATTGAATTTAAAGTTAGCCTTAAGGAAAAATAAATAAATAAACAAAGTTAGCCTTAAGATTAACATTTGAAAATGCCACATGATCACTTCGAAACATCCCTCGTCTTTGAGAAAGAAAAAACATGAGAAAACCAGACAGAGTGACTCACCTTACTCAGTGTCTGTGATGCTTGACTTTTATCATCATTTTAAAAGTGTTTACTAAATGCCAAATAATTTGATCTGTATGCCTGACCTTGTCAGTAGCTGGATAGAAATTTTCTCATAAAATATTGATGATTTGTTGGTTATCTCTAATTTCAAATCTCACTGAGTCAGTGCTTTATGTGAACACATAAGGTTCTGGGTACAATTTCAGAGGCTTCTTGCATACAACACTGTCACCTTCTTCCAAACTCTCCTATAGAGTTATGACCGTCAGGTTAAAAAACCCTGTTTGAGTTTGCTTTAGTTCTCCAGGACTTAGCAGTAGATAAACCGTGGTTATTAACTCTTCTGGATCATGTGTTTTACTTTTAATAGAACTATCATCATTGCAGTGTTTTTAGTTTTGTGGTTTTTTCTCGGGGGCGGGAGATGATGGTGAGAAAGGCTGTTATTTTCACCTCCTTTCAGTTGTGGTTATTCAGAGCTTAGAGTGTCACACTTGAAATGCTGAAATCTGGCCACAGCAGCACATGTCTTGCCAACGCCTATGGCACAATTTCGCTTATGGTCCACCAACATTATAGTCCTTTTGCTACCTTTTCTGAGAAAATATGAAAATGTGCAGTATTATCTGAAAAGAGGTGAGAGACCTTGAAAGTATTTGCCGCCATTGCAACTTAGTAGAAAGAAAGAAAGATGGCCGCCGAGAGCGGTAATCTACGTGTGCGACTTCAGCATCCCAGTGAAGGACCCTTTTACTTGTTCAGGTTTAGGATGTTGGGTGTGATTAGAAAGAGATTCTTAAAAAGCCTTTCATGTAGTGCTGTATTCCAGCCTGAATGGAAATCATTCCATTCAGGGAATAGTATGTCATATTGAAATATATGTGTAATGGCCACGTTTTATTCAAACTGATAAGTGGGCACATTACTGATTGGCAATTTGAACCTCTTCCTTGCTGTGTGTACTGAGGCTTTATAGAAGTGATTTTATTTTTAAGACTGGTTTAAGTTTTAAAATGTATCATTTCTTGTGTATTATAGTATGCTTTACAAAAGTGTGTAATCTACAACTAATCTAATTCAAGATCTGAGCTCTAGAATGTTTTCTTACGTGTGTGTTATATTAAAAGGACTTTAAGATGATCTTTTAAAAAATAATTCTGCACAGTGCCGTTATCTGTCTCATGTTATTTCGAACCAAGATGGAATAGGTAATGTGCTGTGTCTGGCTTCGCATTTGCTTCCAGAGGATTACTAGATTTTCGTCCGCGTAGTTAGATTTAGCAGTACATTGATGTACATTATTTATGAGATGTATTTCCTGTCAGAATAATAGGAATATTTATAAGTCTATTATAAGAAAGCCAAATGTGTGTCTTTTAAAGTCACCGATTTTGCAAAACAGCAACAATAAAAATAAAACAACAAAAATAAGTTTCCATCATCCTCCATGTCCTCCGGGGAGGAAGAACGCTCTGGCACAAAAAAACAAAATGGTTCGCTGTGCTCACTTCTTCCTGTCGTCATGTTGCAGCATTAAAGCTGGGCCCCGAGTCCTTCAAGTTCGACGGTGCAGTCGAGGCCGTGGCAGTCCGGCAGGCCGAGAAGTATTACATCCTCCGTCCAGAGGTCATCGAAACCTATTGGTACCTGTGGCGGTTCACTCACGACCCGAGATACAGGCAGTGGGGCTGGGAGGCAGCACTGGTAAGTGAGCCACAGTCAAGCCGTCCTGTAGCGTCATGGGTCCTCATCGGTGTCACCTCATGTTCCGTACCTGTGGGGCCACTTCCGTTTATCTGATGGAAACGCTGGTAGTCAGTTTCAGTTTCTTAAGCAGCAGAAGCAAACCTTAGAATCCAGTTTGGTTCTCCATTACAACGATTTTCCTACTCATATTCACTCATTCATACTTGAGTAACTATAAAGAGCCATTTAAAAGGCAATTTTTTACTATGATTATAAAATTTCTACACCTGCCTATTAATGTCTCAGCTCCAAAAAAAAAAAAAAAAAATTACGAAACTGCCCAGATTCACAGCCTGGGTCTTTACCCCCCGTTCATTTCACCTTGTGTTCCAAGTAATTCCTAACTGGATCTCCATAAGAAGAATCGGCGAATTGTTAAAATTTTTCTAGATTAAAGGACAAAGATAAATATTTGAAATGAGGAATTTTTAAGTAAGTAATGGAAGCAAGTAGTTTACTCTTAAAAAGTCACCTTTTGGAGAACCTCATGGCTGTCAGTGCCCGGGAGGAAGAAATCATTAGTCTTTTCATGAAAGTATAGCTTATTACTGGGACCAAGGAAGTGTTTTGTTCTCTGAGACATATTAGTTATGATAAATAGTACTACCTATGATGAATATTCATATTCAGATTATTTAACTTAAGCTTGCAGTCTAGATAGAGTGAGGGAATTCTAGGTGAGATAAATAGCTTTAGTAAACTCAGACGAGGATGCCCAAGATATGTTTTAGGGCAGAATGTAGACCAATTTATGTAAAGAGAAGGTTTCACAGTGCTGAGCAAAGGGAGAGTGATTCGAAGCCACTGTGCGGATGGCCTTACACACCAGTGAAGGGTCGTGTACACAGTGATTCTGGAAGAGCAGACTCTCATACACATACACACAGACACACACACACACATACACATAAGCGTTTCTCACCTGGGGATAGACAGTCTTCTGCCTGTCTGAAAGCCCGTTAGATCTTCTTTTAGCTCTAAGGAGGAAGAGCCTGTTAGATCACTGTCCCCTACCCACCAATGCTCCCTAAGTAAGAACCTGTTACTGGACCACTAAGATTTTTCAGAGGGGAAGGCGCTACTGAAGGCTTTTTAGTGGGCGCTATCCAAATGAAAGGGTCAGTCGTGATCTGCAGATGGGTGGGTTCTGGAGCCCACCGCGGTAATCCAGGAATGACGTAAAGACTCGAACTAAGGTGAGGACACTTACGTGTCGTTTGTCATTCAGACCTAGGTAGTCTTTATGGAGTTGCCCTATAAGAGAATATTAATGGAAACAAGGTGGTTACAGATGCAGTGTTTATTGATGCTGCTTTTCCCAGGCCACCTGGGTACACAGGGGTACACCAGAATTGGGAACACAGCTGTGAGTGAAACTGTGCAGGAGAATCCTCGCAGATGGGAAGATGGCCAGACCTTTGCCATGGCGGCTCAGGAGTTGGAGACACACACACAGACACACACTTCTGTTGTGGGTAGCTGTAGCTTACTAATGCGTATGCAAATCCAGCCATACTTTAGGGTAAATGATAGGCGAAGTAATCATGCAACAAATCTGACTCGAATGTCCCCTAATATTTAACAGTTCTTATTTAGAGGGATAAGGGAGATGTATCTGAGTCACGTGGGGCAGGAGGGTGAGGGGCGGTGGCAGGAACGTGTCCTCTCATTGAGAAACGCTGTAGGAAAATTCACTCTTCTCTAAGGTCCTTTTCTCCTGTGCACCTTCTTAAAGTAGGACCCTACTCATATCTATTAAAAAGAGGGTCGACAAGCTCAAATGTTAACCTTTATCCGTCCAAATATGAATTACAGGAGTTAAAATTTTGCTTCTATGTAACCTATATGAACACAGACTCAAAGTACAAAGAACAATACCTGATATAATTATGCTTTAAATTCAGGTTTCAAAAGTGTGCATGATGAGAAAGGGGGGAGGTGGGGTGGACACGAGAGAAGAGGATTCACGTCTTACCCAGGATTAGCGTTCTTGCCCGCCGGGGGCCTCCCCTGGTGGGTACGAAGACTGAAGAGAAGACAGGCTGAGACAGAGCGGTGGCGTCTTGTCTTCTGCAGCGTCAGCTGTCCCACACGTCCAAACCTGAGTATATGATGCATGAAAACTTGCCTTCAAGGAATGACTCCGAATGGCTCAAAGGTTAGCCATGCCTCCCTGTTCCTTTCTCAATATCGCCAAACTGCCCTGACAGTTCGATGGCAGTAAAGACACATGACTGTTGTGAAGAAGACAGTGTTTAAAAACCCTCATATTAAAACGTGTTTAAAATCTTTAGACAGGGAGAAGTACCAAGCCCTTTTGTAAGAAGGCTTTGGTCAGAATACCCAGCTATGATCAAAATGAAACTATGTAAAAGAAAGAACAGTTTGATTAAATAAACACTCTCAGTGTTAAGTAGCTTTTTGTTAGAAAGGAGGAAGACCGGAAGAGTAAGAAAAGTAGCAAGACTAGAAACAACCACCACCACACCTTCATTCAACAGCATCTCGGGGCTGGGCAGAGAGGGGGACATGTGCTCGCGACTCTTCATGGGCGGCTTAATTTGGGAGCGGAGGAAGATATACCTGCAGAAGCAAGATATTTGGTTGCTTAGAATTAACTACGTTTTGAATAGATTCCATTTGATTTAGTGTATTTTATTTAGACATGTTCAAAGATGCAGCAAGAGCTGTAAATTAAGAATGTTAGCCGCCAGTCGGGCAGGAGAACACGGTAGTTAGTAATGTGGAGCAGGCTGCTCTTTGCCTCAGCCTTCTCATCTGAAAAGTGCAGCTGCTAAGACAACCTCATAGGGCTTTTGGAAATTTAAGTGTTGACGTGTGTAAAGCTCTTGGAAGAGCCTTCAGCACGTAGTCAATATTTCATAATTATTATCTCTTAATATTGTCATTGTTGCAGATGTGTGAGCGGGTGCTTCCTTCAGGTCGGTCCCCCCTATAATGCCTAACTAGTGGGATTATGATAACACAATATCTGTTGTATAGTCTGTTTGCAGTAAATGTTATTGCTGTTACTACGGAGAGTTCCTAACTAACACTTCTTTTTAGCATGTTTTAGATGATTGTTCATCCTTGGACGTGATGAAATTGCATTTCGAAGTTTTCATTCCAACTGACTCCCTCTTGATTTGTAGAATTAATGAGGATTCATTATACTGTACAAGTGTCTAATAGTGTGACTAGCCTAAATTTGACTTCTAAGTTATGATAATATAAGGTGTCTTTAAAAGGTTAAAGAATTTTGAAGAGGGAGAAATTCCACAGGAAAGAGGATACCTCAGTTAATTTTTCCAGTGGGAGAATATTTCCATTTGATAATAAATCTTATTCTTAAACTGTCAAATTTAAGAATGGATCTCTGTGAACTTTTGACTGTGATTCTTTGCCTTGACCTTCAAAACTTGAAATTCTATGGAATTGGTTCTTTTGTCCGCTCTCTTTCACAGGCTATTGAAAAGTATTGCCGAGTCAGCGGTGGATTTTCTGGGGTGAAGGATGTTTATTCCTCTACTCCCGCACATGACGATGTACAGCAGAGCTTCTTTCTTGCTGAAACATTAAAGTAAGTGGATGCCTTTAAAAAATTTTTATCGTAGGCTAGTTTTGCTGTATAGTCACTACAGGATGAATTATGGCTACGTAATATATTACACTAAATTTTATTGCAAATATCTTATGTATTTGGGTCTTAAATTTTTAGTTGCATCTCAAGAAGAACGACTTAGACTGTGAGGTAGATATTTTGTCAAAGAAGAGTGTATTACCTTTATTTTGTCCTTAGCTCTTCAGTTTGCCCTAGAATCACCTGGAGACCTCTTAAAACACACGTAACTGGGACACACCCTCAGAGTTTCAAGAGGTCTAGAGTAGAACTTAAGAATTTGCATTTCTGACAAACTCCCAGGTGGTGCTGATGATACTGGTCCTGGAACCACGCCTGAACTCCCTGTTCTAAGCTGATGAAATCGCTTAAAAATAGTTATGGAGATTATATGACCCTAACCTCCCATCCTTCCAATGAAGTTTCTTCTAAAAATACACATAACGGAAACACTGGAGAAGAAAAAAGATAACATTATTATTTAGGCTTAAACTGAAAACCAGACAGAGCTGTCTGTAAACTAACCGGAAGAAGGTAGAGACCTGAAACATGTCCACTTCCCTGAAGGCTACAAAGTAAGAATCTCTTGATACCATCTCTTAAATTCTTATTTCTATTTCCTGTCTATCTGTACCTGAATGTCTCGTGAACTGTCACTCGATTTATTCAAAAAAATGTTTCCATTCAGGCGTTGTTCAGGTTACTTGCGGATATATCGGTAGATAAAAAGGATAAAAATTACCACTCCCCCGAAGATTACCTACTAGTCTACTTCTAGTTTACATTTTGCTATACTACAGTTGAAATTTTCATGTCTCAAACTAAGTTTCTTACCCGAAATGGCTGTCTTATTCCAATTTTTCTTTAATTGTCCCTAGACTCTTATTTTCCCGTCTTTTCGGTTTGTGCATCATGGAGTTATCTCTTTTTTCTCCTAATATATCACTAAGTCCTTATGGTCATCGTTACAGTGTTTCTTTGTTTCGCCCCTGTTCACATCTCCGGCTGGCCCTCACGCAGGCCCTTATGCCTGCTGAGGTGGCACAGAGCATGTGGATGGCGGGCAGTTCCCCGCCGGTGGTCATTGCCGGTTTTGATTTATCCCGTGTGGTGAGGCTTGAGACTGTGAGACCATGGAGAGAATGCTGGGCTGGAAGATAACCGTGGGAGCGTTAGTTAGACACTCGCTCTAACTTAATGAATGAATGTGGAAATACAATTTGCTTTCAGTTATCACATCTGTAAGCTGTGGAATTTGACCCAAATGATGTAACATCCCTTATTTTTTTAAGACCAGAAAAATGGTAAGAATAGTGCAATGGTATCTGTGTATCCTTCACCTAGATTTACCTGTTATTAATTTTTGCCACATTCCCACACCCCTGTGTGTATGTCTGTACACACACACCCATGCGTGCACCTATACAGTTTTACTACTTGTAAAAACAATTTGCTCTATAATTTGCAAGTTAGCAGATTTCTGATACTTACGTAAGAGTTTTGAGGAAAAGGGCCTAATCCTTCGTAATCACAATAGAGTTATCACACTTACAGATTCTACCTTAAACCATGGTAATCTGTATATATAAACGTTTACACATATGAATATGTGGATATATGTACATGAAATTCGTTCCTTCGCATTTCATGGTCTGTTTCATACTGTATC